TGGGATATTTGGGGCCCTATGTGGGAAATTCTTTTGTTCTTGTTGTTTTCTTCCCTGATAAAGCAATGTAGTTGCCGCCGTTCTCTACTTGATTATTTTAATGCATTAGGTATACTAGGTATTAAATACCTAGTTATTTTTTTAAAAAAAGAACACAAAGATAAATATGACATTGAATTTGTGTCTGTATGGAGAAGTGATAACCCGGGACCATGCTATTCTCAAAAAAAAGAAATTTTACTTGTATTATGTTTTGTGAAAATCCAAATAAAATTTTTATTTAAAAAAAATTGCTTGCAAGCAAATTCATAAAATTTGCTGAGTACCACCTCTGAAGTTGACTCCTTCTTCTTTGTGGCAGTCCCTCAAATACTGAAATACTATCATGTCAACCCTAGTCCTTTTTTTCTCTAATGAATAGAGTAGAATAGAATTCTTTATTGGCCAAGTGTAATTGGACACACAAGGAATTTGTCTTGGTGCAAATGCTCTCTCTTTTTTCTTTAGACTAGCCAAACTCAAACCCAGCAACTGTTCTTCATATGTTTTAGCCTGCAGGGCCCTAATCATCTTTGTTGCACTCCACACTCTTTCTAGATTATGGGATTTTTCTAGATTATGGGATGGATTTTTGTAGTAGAAGACAAGAGTGTGTTTGTTCCTATGTGCAACATCCTAATTTGTTCCTATGCACTCTATGCTAATCCTTCTTGTTGATATTTCCATGCAGGAAACACCTGTTGAGGTAGATGGAGAACATCTAAAGCCAAGAAAAGATTCCTGGGAGGTTCGATCTCCAGATAACTTATTAGGTAAGACAAGATATTCTTTTCCTCAGACAAATCTCAGTGTTCATCTTAAGCAACTGCTTTTGCCGTAGGAATCTGACCCTGGATGAATTTTTATAGACCAATGATGGGTAACATTTTCGACACCAATTGCCCAAAGCGTGTGGATGCAGGCGCATCCCCAAAATGCAATGTGTGTGTACCCCCATGCATGCGCCCCACCCTCCATGCATCTGCCCCACCTCCATGCATGCCTGTGCGTCTCCCGCACATGCACACCATCCTTTGCGCATGCGCGGCAAGGACACAAAAACCAGCCGGCCAATGGGAGGCATACGCTCATGCACGGCGGAGCTGAGCTGGGACAACGGCTCGTGTCCACAGAGAGGGCTCTGTGTGCCACTTCTGGCACACATGCGATAGGTTCCCTATCACGACTATAGGACATCTTCCAAACAATATTTTTGAATGTCTCTTTCTACCTCCTTTGCCTCCCTCACAGGAGAAAATACGTCATCATTTGTACGTCTTGAAACATCTCCATTTGATGGTGGAGCAGAAACAGCAGCTATACCCCCAGTTCAGGTAGGGAAATATCAAGAAATGATATGTGCCGAGATGATTGGTGGGTTGGTAGGGCAGGGGTGGGATTCTACCAGTTTGGACTGGTTCGGGCGAACCGGATGTTAAAGTTATAGCTGGTTCGCCAAACCAATATTTCAACCGACTGGCTGGCCCCGCCCCTCCTGCCCCACCCCTCCCAGGAGTCTCCATGTGGCCCATTTTCAATGGAGGTAAGTGCAGGGTCTGCATGGAGGCTCTGGGAGGGGGGAAAACAGGCCTTCTTGAAGTCTGGAAATTGGCCTGTTTCTGGCTCCCGGAAGGCCTTCAGGGGAGGCTGTTGCTGCTTGGGAGAGGGAAGGATCTGCTGCTTGGGTAACAGTTTATCCTCCATATTAAATTACCCAGGCCTCATGCTCTGGAGAGGATGCTCCAGCTTTGCATACAGCATGGAAACAACACAGGAAGTGGCAGTTACCAGTTTCATAGCACGGTACCATAGTCTCTTGAGACTGAAGGATGCCAGTTCAGTGCACCTCATCTTCTTTTGTCACGATTTCTAGCTTATTCCACTGCACCCCCTAAATGTGGTTTGGAGTCTATCTGCTCATGTATGTTGATTTCAGGGTCCTGTTTTGAGTCCCATGTCCTTGAAGGAGGTAGCTGTCAATTTCACCGAGGAAGAGTGGGCGCTGCTGGATTCCACCCAAAAAGCCTTGCACCGGGAAGTTATGCTGGAGAATTCCAGAAACATGAACATTCTGGGTAAGGGCCTTTCTTAGCTATGGATTCAAATAACTGCCACTTGTCTTTGGAGACTCTCAATCATCCAAGTCATGGTTGTCCCAAAAGTGTTTTTCAAAAGGCAACTGAACATCACAGTCATTCCATGACTCTTCAGAATTATGATGGTGTTAAATGAGTGGGACATAAGAACCAGTCCTTGAATTTCTGGCTGGTCGTCCCTTGATCGCAATTGGAGCTCTTGGTAACCGATCCACATTTTTGATCTTCTGATTGTCCTGTAGTCACACAATTGCCATTTACGACCTTTCCTGCCGGCTTCCCCCAAGCAAAGTCAATGGGGAAGCTGGCAGGAAATCGCAAGTTATGATCACGAGAGGTTCCTGCTTAATGACCAGGCAGCGTTCATTGAACAGTGGCAACCAGAACTGCTGAAACTGCCATCCTAAATCATTGTACCAATGTGGTTTTTCTTTTCTTTTTTTTACAACTGCACCACTTAGTGATGGGAGTTTGCGATTCCGAATACTGTTGTTAAGCAAAGACTAGCTGTAATGTTGTTAAAAGTGGGGTTTTGTTTTGCCTGAAAACAGTCGCTTTCTTGCCTCTGGATTATTGAATTGTATTTCTGTTATAAATAAAGCAGTTAAAGTTTATTTGCGAGATGATCAAAGGAAGAAATAAAATAAACGCAGTGGGGGTGGGGAATCTATCCCAAAATACTAAGGACATTTTTAAGCAAAGGAGGAGAATATCTGTTTAAATTGAGACTTTAAATTTAATTATCTGTTTAAATTTAATAGCTGGAACAGTCTAGAGTTGTACAATGAGCCAGAACACACAGTTGTAGTTGATTGGTTAAGAGAGTTAACTGGTGAGGCAATCTGCACTGTAATTGGTTGCTATGGGTATACGGGGGGGGGGGGAGTTTCCCCTTTTCCCGCCTTTTTCTTCTGCTCTGTGATTTACTTCATGGAGCTCCTGTTTGCCTGATTAACTTGTTTGCTGTAAAATATAGATGTAAAATATATTTATTTATATAAAACTACAAATTTGTGTCAGCATCTCTGACTTCCTTTGAACAGTTGCTACGCAACTCCCTGAATATATCCTTCTGTTCAATGAAGTGTTATAAATATTTCGTTTAAATAAATAATTTCCTTTTTAGAAATAACGTTTTTTTTTAGTGAATTTTATTTCCACATTTTTCTTCTTCTTTAAAATATGTAAGTGCTTATTATTATAAGCAAACTTTAGTATTATTATTATGAATGTTATTATTATTAATAGTAGTATTTTATTAATATCTTGTATAAGGAAATTGATCCAGAGACTATATTACTTAATAAGCACTTACATATTTTAATTTTTCTTTTGATCACGCCTCTCAGATTTGATCATTTTTAAAAAGGAATTATATCCTGGATTGAGTTTGGGTTTATTGAAATCCATATGGCTTACTTATTTTTAACTATTCCTATTGTACAGTTTTCTGGAATTCAAAGTCTTTTTGTTAAACTTTTGATCAGAGAAAATATATTTTTGTTCCTCCTCGTTTAGTGTCCCCCCCCCTTTCCTCCGCTTAACTGGGGGCACCAATGGGGTAGAAATGTATAGATTTGTCCTGCAAGCCTTCTGGCAGATCATGGAAGGTATGATGTGAAAGTTATACAGGTAATCGTTGTTTTATGACCACTCATCTAACAATGGCTCACAGCTATATGGCCTTGGGAAAGGTGACTTACGACCTGTCGTAACACATCACTGGCATACCAGCTTTAAGGTTCAGTTTTTATTCTTTCTATCTCAAGCAGGAGATGAAAAGGAAAATGAGAACTGCCAAGAACCCAATATGGCGACATCACCAGCAATCCAACTTAAACTGAGAAAAGAGATATTTGGGGTTCAATGGAGAACCCAAACACACCAGGAAAGCCACTCGAAGCCTGGGGAGGAGAAATCCTTGAGTTCTGGATGTGCTGGAGTCCAGGAACTCTTCCTGACCAAAGGGAACAGGGAAAGGATGAAAAAGGACAACTGCCTCATATGTACAAAAATACTCAAAGGTAAATTAGATTTGCTCCCCCCGAACAGGTAGTCCTTGACTTATGGCCACAGTTGGGAGATGGATTTCTATTGCTAAGTGGAGCAGTTGTTAAGTGAATCATGTGGTTAAGAAAATGCCAGCTTCCCCCATTGACTCTGCTTGTTGGAAGCCAGCTGAGAAGGTCGCAAATGGCGATCACATGACCCTGGCATGCTACAGCTATAATAAATATGTGCCAATTGCTTAGTGCCTGAATTTTGATCACATGACTGTGGGGATGCGGCAGCAGGCATAAGTGTGAAGAACGGTTATAAGTAATTTTTTTTCAGTGCCACTGCAGCTTTGAACAGTCACTAAACAGTGATTGTAAGTGGAGAACTACCTTTATGGCAGGGCTCTCCAAATTTGGCAACTTTCAGAACTTGTGGACTTCAACTCTCAGAATTCCTCACCTGAGGAATTCTGGGAGTTAAAGTCCACAAGTCTTCAAGTTGCCAGGATTGGAAACCCCTTCTGTATGGCATTGCAGCCAGAGGTAGCCAGTATGAATGCAGAAAACGTGGAACGTATTTTAACCAATTTTCCCTTCCTATTTTAGGTCAGAAAATCCACACTGCGGACAAACCATGTAAACACAGGCAACCCAGAAAGAATTTGAGGGATCTTCCTTCCCATAAAAGTTTCCACCCTCCAGGGAAAACATACCCCTGTGTGGAGTGTGGAAAGAGCTTCAGTGAAAAGCGATCCTTAACCGATCATAAAAAGAGCCACCCGGAGGAGAAAACACATAAATGCTTGGAGTGCGGCAAGGGTTTCCACACCAGCAGCCAACTTGCTTCTCACAAAAGGACCCACACCAGGAAAAACACCTACACCTGTAAGCTGTGTGGAGTGAGCTTCAGAATGAGGAGTTTGCTTACTTTCCACGGCAGGATTCACTCGGGGGAGAAACCGTATCAATGCATGGAGTGCGGAAAGAGTTTCAGATGGACCAGCGATCTTACATCTCATATTAGGATCCATACGGGGGAGAAACCCTACAAATGCCCGGAGTGCGGAAAGAGCTTCAGCAGGAGCAGTTCCCTTACGTACCACAAAAGGATCCACACGGGGGAAAAACCGTATAAATGCCGGGAGTGCGGGAAGCATTTCAGTGACTGCAGTGCTCTGTGTTCTCATAAAAGGAGCCATTCCTCGGAGAAACCCTATAAATGCACCAACTGCGGGAAGAGCTTCGGCAAGAACAGCTTTCTCACGTTGCATAAGAGGCTCCACACGGGGGAGAAACCCTATCAATGCACAGACTGCGGGAAAAGCTTCAGCCAGAGCAGCCACCTCACTTCCCACAAAAGGCTCCACACGGGAGAGAAACCCTATCAATGCACAGACTGTGGGAAGCGCTTCAGCCAGAACAGCCATCTTACTTCCCACAGAAGGCAGCACACGGGAGAAAAACCCTACAAATGCACCGTGTGCGAAAAGAGCTTCAGCAACAGCAGTTCCCTGACTTCGCATAAAAGGAGCCACACAGGGGAGAAACCCTATCGGTGCACGGAGTGTGGGAAGATCTTCAGCCAGAACAGTCACCTCACTTCCCACAAAAGGCTCCACACGGGAGAGAAACCCTATCGATGTGCAGAGTGTGGGAAGAGCTTCAGGTTGAGTAGCGAGCTTACATCCCACAAAAGGATCCACACAGGGGAGAAACCCTATAAATGCTGGGAATGCGGGAAGGGTTTCAAACAGAGCAGCCAACTTACCTCTCATAAAAGGACCCATGCCAGGGGAAAAAAAAGTATACATATATTGAATATGGAATGACTTTAGAACTGGGATATATTATTGACCTCAAGTCTGCTGTATTGTGTTTTATTGTTAGTTCTCTTATGTTTTCAAGCCCCTTTGAGCCATCTGGAATCACTATCTGCAAATTGCGTAGCTTTATAAACCATTTAGGGACATGGTGGCTCAGTGGCTAAGATGCTGGGCTTGTTGATCAGAAAGGTTGGCAGTTTGGCAGTTCAAATCCCTAGCGCCACGTAACGGAGTGAGCTCTCTTTACTTGTCCCAGCTTCTGCCAATCCAGCAGTTCGAAAGCATGTAAAAATGCAAGTAGAAAAATAGGGTCCACTTTGGTGGGAAGGTAACAGTGTGCGCCTTTGGCATTTAGTCATTCCGTTCACATGACCATGGAGGCGCTGGATCTTCGGCTTTGTAACTGAGATGAGCAACGCCCCCTAGTGTCGGGAACAACTAGCACATATGTGCCTGGGGACTCTTTACCTTTATAAATATTTAAACAACAACAACAATAATACTGTTGTTAAGTTAGTAACATGCTTGTTAAGTGAATCTGGCTTCTTCGTTGACATTGCTTGTCAATGGTCATAAGTCATTTTTTTCAGTGCCCTTGTAACTTTGAGCAGTCTTTAAACAAATGATTGTGAGTTGGGAACTACCTGTATTGCAATGTGCTTTCCTGTTGGTTCCCTTATGTTTTCAGCTCCATTTGAGCTACCTGGAATTGCTGTTTGCAAATTGGGTGGCTCTATAAATCATTTAAATAATAGTAATAATACATTTCAGAATGAGGATTTACATGACGTCCAGTCACTTTAATTTCTGTAAAAAGATTGATCCACAAGAAAGCTACAAATGCGAGGAAGGTACAAAGAGTTCCTTGTTTCTAGTTTCCTAATGCTTAATAAAAGAATCCCCACAAGAAATAAATTATAGTTTTGCCAAAAAGAACCCATCCTATTTTCTATAACTCACTCTGCAAAGGAAAAAATAACTATAAAAATCCATGTAGTTTATGTTATGTGCTGAAAGCAATCTTACTTTAAATATACTCTATAAATGTCCATGGTTTCTCTTTTCACTGTAGGGAATTCAAAGTAATTCTAAATTGTAATTACCTGTTTCATGCTGGAATTTGCCTTTCATTTCCTTGATCACTGCCATGCATTTGGCCCATAATTTGAAAAGAGGAGATTAAAACATTTCAGAATGCAGGTAGGTCTCGTTAAGCGTGGTTAATGAATCCCACAAAATGGTTGTATCGGCTGCTGTCGAGTACTGGACACTTTCCACAGAAAACAACGTTACTCACAAATAATGATATGTGATGTTGGAATTTATTGTAGTTCTTCCAATCACAATCAGCAACAACAACGATACTCTGTGCAAAGTCAGCGTTGAGAGCAACTGACTCTCAGGACTGTTTATATCCACCCTCCCAACTAACCTAACATCTGCCCATTAACTAATCCTCCACAGTTCCGTCCTGTGCCTAATTAATTACGCCTATTGCCATCTACTTTCCTTACCTCTAACCCATGTAGACCACCCCCTCTCCTATCTGGTTACATCCCATCCTATTCCCCCCACCTGTCCAATGCAGTATCTGCAGCAAGAAGGAAATGCCAAGCGAAAAACAATCCAGCTAGCTGCGGCATCCCCGCGCAACAGCTGATCAAATCATCTGCGACTCTGGAACCTCTGTCATGGCCTCTCAGATGCCGCCAGCCAGGACGGTATCAGGAACGTTGGCATCTCAGTGCCTCCGCTCAGCTGAGTTGGGGAAGACGCCAGGATGTTTGTCGAGCTCCAGAAGACCTCCAGAATGTTTGTCGGGCTCCGGACACTGGTCAGATTGCCAAGCCTGACATGTTGTATTATTCAAATTTGCACTACAGTCCAGTCCTCATTTCATGAATGCTCATTTGGTAGCTGTTCAAAGTTTTGACAGCACGGAAAAAAGTGGGGTTAACAAGTGGTCCTCGGACAATCATTGTAGCATTCCTCCAGAGTCATACCAGAGGTGGTATTCAGCAGGTTCTGACCAGTTCTGGAGAACCAGTAATGGAAATGTGAGTAGTTTGGAGAACCGGTGAATACCACCTCTGACTGGAGATTTTACAGTATCCTTCCCCTGCCACACCCATTAAGCCATGCCCACAGAACCGCTAGTAAAAAAATTTGAATCCCACCACAGTCATATGATCATATGATATGATATATGATATGATAGGGGTGTTTGGCAACCATGTCACATTTACAACAGTTGCAGGCCCCTGTAGTTGCAAGATCCTTATTTGTGACCTCTGCAAATTTTGATGGCTTTGTTGTACCAACATCTTCAGCAGGGAAGGGACAGGCTTTAGTAAGAACCTCAAGCCCTTCGTCAACCATGGGTTAGATCAGTGTTTCTCAACCCTGCCTACTTCGAGATGAGTGGACTTCAACTCTCAAAATTCCCTCTCCAAATCCCCCTAACTATGCTGGCCTCCCCCTCCCCGCTGCTACCAACTGGAATGACCCACTCAGGAGTACAACCACTGAAGTGCCCCACACCAACCTCACAGGTGGCCCAGGATCATACCTTGGTTAAGGTATTGCCAGCTGTTGAGAGGTCTAGAAGGGTCAGTAAAAGTGGACTCCCATTGTCCCCATCCTGAGCAACGAATTCGGTTTCTATTCCATGACATTATCTGAATCCAGTCTAAAATTAATCTAATTAAGTTGCTTCTTGAAGTGTATTGTGTTATTGTGTAGCCAACTCCCTCACCTTGTGATGTTGTCTAGAACACAACCATTTACCTAAAATGGTAGAGGCCTTCCAAAGTCCCTTCCAACTCCGTTATTCTTTTCAGCTGATGGACTCTTTAAGCCAGGATGTTGACCAAGTCCAAAGCTGCATGGTATGTGTTAGTCCATAATCACACAAAAATGATTATCACCTCCCTGAAAGAGTGGGGGTTGTTCTTTTGGGATCCTCCTGGACTCACAACTACTGCTAGATAGGAACATGCAGGTTGTGGTCAGAAGGCTTCAGTGTAACATTGTTGGCTTGAGCACCATTTATGGCCGTACCATCAGTGGAAAGCTGTAAGCAAAGTTGTCAGCCTTGGAAGCCATGTTTTACTTGGAAGCTTCGAGGCTGCCACATTCAGTGCTTGGGAATTTGGGAGGGGGGGGAATTTCATAGTGAGGTAGATTAGACTCAACAACATTCTTTCTCAGAGAGTCAAGGACATGTTACCCTGCACCTGGAAGAGAGTGACTGGAGTGATGTCTCCAGTTGGGGCGAAGATTTGATTGGGTCATGTCATGGACTGGTGGGTACAGGAGATGGATCTTTGATTTTCTTTGGGGGAGGGAAAACCCGGAATTCTCAGATTATAAAATGGAACTTTGAGGAAATGTTTGTCTCAGAGTTTATTAGTTTAGAGTTTGTTAATTGGAATGCTGACAAAGGTTATGTCTGCACTTATAATCACTCACCTGGATTATGTCATGGGAATGTCCTGCAAAGACTACTTGGAAACTGTACTTAGCGTGGATGGCTGCACAGTGTCTCTTGACAAACCAGAATGATAACACCTCTTTTAAGGTGACTCTGTTGGTTACTGGGTGTTTCTGGAAGGAAACACCTGAAGTCTGCTGACCTGAGTCTTCCTTTATGGCTGGTACCCAGGGATGGGCTTCAGAAATTTTAGCAAAGGGATCTCTGCTTGGTTGCTGGGTGTTGTGGTTAGCCAGCAGCAGATAGAGATGGCTGAGGAGAGCGAGGACTCAGATGAGGGGCCAGGACCATTAGGGTGTGGACTGCTGCCTTCAGAGTTTGTGGGGGCTGGCAGCAGTGATGAGGTTCCCGAGGAGCCTGTGCCAAGTGCATGTGCACGCAAGATTGCTCAGAGAAAAGAACAGTTACAACAGCATGGGCGACTCGGGAGTAAGGCTGCAAGGTAATGGCCCCTCCTTCAAGAAGATAAAAGCCAGCTGTGAAACTAACCTTCTTTGCAGAAGGCAAAGATGTTTTGAACTCAGCCTCGTGGACATTATAGTTGGTATTTGAAGACTCTTGTAAACTATTTCTTATCTGTTGTTTTTTGGCCTACCTCCTTCAGGCAGAGCCATTTCATTGCCCTTCATTGAATCACCCAGCAAGATTCAACCAAACGTAGCACACAGACAACCTACAAAGCTAGCTATGACCTCTGACAACAACCAATCAGAATACTCTTCCTGTGCTCCAGGAAGTTCAAAGCTAGTGAGAGTATAAAACCCAGGGACTCTCAGCATCACTTCCCTTTTCTTTTCCCAAGAGCTCCAAGCCAAGTGGTCCTGTCCACCATTAAACTATCTTTCCAAACAACCTCCATGTTTCCAGTGTCTTTCTCCCCACTTGGAATGGAACCCAGATGGACATTTCTTCCAACAGAAGTTAACTGCTAATCAAGGCAATCTTGAAATCTAAGAAACAGAACAAACATTTCTTTCAAAAAACAATTCCTTCTTCCACGTTTAATCACAATTGGCTGTTCTTGGTTGAGATGCTTAACTTGGTTACTCAATTTGTTGCCCTGTAGACTGATCAAAAGGCCTAGGTCTGCACATTAGGTTCTTCTGTTGCATATATATGGATGCTGATTTTGTTTGCCTAATGCCAGGTAGACAATACTACAAGGTTGCAAACTATCCTAAAAACACGAGTTCCAGATCTAGCTATAAAAGGAGACAGACATCACAATCTCCAGAACAGGTGCTACAGAGGAATTATTGAGTTTGTCATCTGCATCTCTATAACTGTCTGGTTTGGTTCTGCAACCCAACAGGACAGACACAGACTTCAGAGGATAATTAGGACTGCAGAAAAAACAATTACTACCAATCTCCCTTCCACTGAGGACCGAAATATTGCACAAGTCAAAAAGAGGGCTGTGAAAATATTTACAGACCTCTCACATCCTGGACATAAACTCCAACCCTCAAAATGATGCTATAGAACACTGCACACCAGAACAACTAGACACAAGGACAGTTTTTTCCCCTGAATGTCATCACTCTGCTAAACAAATGATTCCCTCAACGCTGTCCAACTATTTACAAAGGCTGCACTATTACTATTGATCTTCTCATCACTCCTTATCACCCATCCTCTTCCATTTGTGTCTGTATGACTGTAACTTTGTTGCTTGTATCCTAATGATTTTTACTG